GGTTTGCCCCCCCCCCCCATTCATTCTGGAATCAAGTCAGTTCCAAGTATTCTGAAGTTATACTGTGGTTTCTTTGGCCCAAGACTACAGAGGTGAGACCCTGAAGTAAAGATAAGGTACCCATACATTATTTGAGTAACTATTTCCTTTGTGGCCAGTGTGCGTATGCTTTTAGAAGTTTACAGAATGCTTTCTTTTTGTCTGTAACAGTCTCTGTCATTCATTTCTGTCGATAAACTATTTGGACAGAGTGAGGAAGTTTGCCTTGTATCTCCTAGTGCTAACAATACACTCCAGTCATGAGCCAGGCTTTACAAAATAAAGCACTTTGATGACTCACAAAGTGGATCCCTCGTTCCTCTGTCTCCACTGGGTTTGTCTCTAATGCAAATAAATTTAAAGGCTCGGTACTAAGAGTACCTTTAGCTGCACCTTGAAGAAGGACAAGTAAAACCGAATCTCTTCACTACCTAGAGCTTTGCCTTCAACCTGTGAATTATTTTATTAGTAAACAATGGAAACTTCCACACCAAAATGGACTTGCTGTAAGATGAACAGAGAAAAGAAATCTCTTCAGTGAATACCCTATAAATATCATTTTATTTTCCATTTTTACCAACCACAGTTCTATGTCAGCATTTTTTGAAACTCTTATTGGGCCACCGCCGGCGGACGGAAGGCTCTCTTAGAGCATTCCACCGTCATCGGGGCCAGGTTAGCAAACAGTCCGTTTGGCTACAACACTCGTTTTGAAATGCGTATTTGTTCTAACGCGATTGATACGTGAGGGAAGGATCGGCCATGATGTACTTTTCCCATTTAGTCGTGTGCACTTGAGTCCACGAGGAACACGAGGTGGACACAGAAAACTGCACCTGGCCGAACGGTGCCACACAGGAATACGCAAGCCATGCACCCCTCAAACATCGCCAACTCCCTAGGTTTCTCCCCATGTGGGCAGTCACCCTGGGCTCTACCTGGGGTTAGAACCTCACGTCTGACTTCAAATCACTCCTTGCTCTACTTCACAACAGTCCCAGAGACACAGCCCCTTCCAGTGTTTCCTACCACAGGCACCCTTCAGGTCCTCTTCACGATAACCTGCCACATTTATTGTGGTATTTGTCCATTTCCTGGCCACTTAGCAACGCTTAAAACTACTGCTATTTTTATTAGGTTCCTCTTTTTTTTTTTTTTTTTAGACCGTATCAGTGATGAAGTTTGGGGGTGCTGTGCCCCTTAGTCCCAGTATTCCCATAAGCTCTGTGGGTTTTCTTGTGCCAAGAGCAATGATTTAATGTTCTGGATTCAATTCACATTGGTCCTAGAAAACTGGTTACTGCAGATTCACAGAAGGGCAAAAGTTGGTATGAAGCATTAATCCTTAACACGACATTTTTGGAAATAAGTCATTAAGGGTTAAGTGCAAGAGACCAGGGGTTGTGGATGCTGAGCTGGTAACGTATACAATGTATAAATGTATATAACGAAGTGATATAGTGAAGAGGAAGCAAGGCCAAGAGGTTGAAACATGGAGTTACACCCGGGAGTTCTTACCATCGGTGCTCCGAAAGCCCCCAGCCATCACTGTACACGGAATGTTCAACTGGCACAAAATCAGGGGTCACGGTATATACTGCACATAAAAATCCTTCTTCCAGGTCTCAAAATACCACTTTCCATCTCTTCCTCCCTCCCCATCTTCTTAAACAGCATTTTATTCAGCTCCAGCCACATTATCTGGAGACCGCTATGTTAAAAATATAAAAGTCGCTCTCCCTAAAGGGCGGAGACTTGCTGTGCCCTTTGAATTCCCAGGCACAGGAGTTACGTGCACAGCAGCCTTCACTCAGTCCCCTTCTCCCAGACTAACTGCCGCCTTTAAACAGTTGGCATATCAAAGAGGCACTGGTGGCAAAGTGGCCCCGAAGACCGGGAAAGTGTCTCTGGAAAAGTAGAGTTGATAAGTTACCAAGAACCATTACTGAAAGTTCCTTCTTTCTGAAGGGGTAGCTTTTCATCTAAACCGAATACCCTCCAGAAGCTTGTCTTAGTCCTGTTTGTGATGCTGTGAAAACCCTGCCAAAGGGCGCTTACATGCCATAGTCTGGAATTTTCTCTCACTCTTAAACGCTCGTGTTTGACTTTTTAAGAGAAGGGACAAGAGATCAGGATTTGTCGGAATCCAGCGTGATGCATCCGTGTTCCACAACCCCACACTTACTGCCGGAGGAGGCGTCACAGATGAGGAACCTTTGGCCCACACAAGCTAGGTGACTGGCCCGAGGTCACATGATCGTTGCCAGCAAGGCCAGGGCTGGAACTCCGGCAGCTCAAGATTGGAAGTTGAAGGCTTGACTGATGGGCGCAGCACCCTCTCCAGACTCCAAGACCCTCGCCACCACCCTTCCTTCGGCAGGGCTCCCCTTTCCCAAGCCCCTCAGCTGTGTCTGGAGAGCCCCCGCCAGCACGCAGCCTCCTGGGTTTCGTACCAACCCTCCCACGGTTCATGTTATGAGAGTCCATCTGTATTACTCCCTTTCCTGTCTTTTTCTCAGTCCAACAGCATTTTCTTTACTGTTGCCTGACTTTTTAAATCGAGAGGTCTCACTTCCGATGGCCAGTCTGGAAAACGGTCTTAAGCGATTAATCCCTCCCACCAAATGAATCACTCATTTTAAATACCTTTTGTAATATGCTTCTTTCTGTCTCTCCCTTTCTCTCTTCCCGCCTCCCTCGTCTATACTTAAAACATATGAACGAGGCAGCTTCTTACTGATTAGAGCAGGAGTCAGCAAGCCACAGTCGGAGGGCCAAATCCAGCCCAACACATGATTTTTGTAAAGTTTTACCGAAACACCTACGCCCGTTCACGCATTTTCTATCACTGCTTTCAAGCCACAGTGGCAGAGTCAGTAGTTGTGACTGAGACCCGACGCCCACAAAGCCTGAAACACTTACGAGAGCCCTTTACAGAGCAAGTTTGCCGGCCCCTGAAACAGCCTCACTTTAGTACCACAAAGTGGTCTCCGCAAAACCGTGGACTTCAGCTACGATTGCCGTATGACCCACAGAGACCTTCCTCCCCCCGATCTGGAGTTGAGATTTCTTTCATTCTTTTACTACAGGTGTGGCAACGTCATGATCGCCCTCGGTTTTTACTGAAGTTACACTGCCTTGTGAATTTGTTTTTGAGCAAATTGCTGTGGTCATCTTAAATTACCATCGCAGTTACCATTGGAGTTGACTGAGAAATCCATTTATAGAAGTCATTCAGTCAATCACTTTGTTAAAGTCCTGTAAAAACAGACGATTGCTTCAACATATGTGACATTTTCTACACAACTTTAGTATACTCATATACACTTAACAAAATTTGGGGGGGGGGGGCCTCAGATTGTATTAGTTAAGGATCCTGTGGCAACTAATATGTGCCACTTTCACTTAGTTTTACCAAAGATGATAGTGCTAAAATGCAAGGATTTCTGTTTTACCGGTGTTTACCTAACACTTTCCCCCCTCAAGCTTCCTCGTGGTCTGGGGATGAATAGTTTATTAGCCTGGGGATTCGGTGCCTTAGATGGCCTCAGACATTTTTCCCCAAAAGTCCAGAAGGGAGCTTCTTCCTGCTTTGGCTGTACTTACACATCTCCAAACCAGGGTTTGACCAGGCCAAAGGAGGGAGTTTTCCATTTAAATTCTGAGAATAGAACCCATCCTCCCACCCCACCCCACTCCCACATTTTGTCCGGATGGTAAAGTTGATTTACTATAAATTAGCAAGTCTTTCTAAAAATAAGGAACTAATCACAGAACAAACAGAACACGTTACTGTGGTGGGTGATACTCTACAGGGCACACAAAGTGGAATATCATATCTTCACGTTGTCACGTAAGACTCCCCGAATCGAACACCGAATGTTTAACTACGAAGCCGTATGGTTTTTTCTTTTAATATTTTCCTACATGGACTTAGGAATTTAGCTTTTAATCAAATAAAATGCCACAAAGAGAGGGGCGCCTGGGTGTCTCAGTCAGTTAAGTGGCCGACTTCGGCTCAGGTCATGATCTCACGGTCCGTGAGTTCGAGCCCCGCGTCGGGCTCTGTGCTGACAGCTCAGAGCCTGGAGCCTGTTTCAGATTCTGTGTCTCCCTCTCTCTGACCCTCCCCCGTTCATGCTCTGTCTCTCTCTGTCTTAAAAATAAATAAACGTTAAAAAAAATTGTTTTTAATGCCTCTTTTTACCAAAAACAAGCAGCAGCAAAAATGCTAAAATATACAAATGAACTGTATGTATTGATCACCGCTCTAGTGAACCAGATAGACTAAGGGACATCTGGGATTTGCTGACCGGACGGACACACACCCACTGTTCCCATGTGGGGGTGGGATACGTAGGCCAGGGATGTACAGATGCTCTTGGCTTTTGGTCCTCTAAATGATGTTATGTAAAAGGGTTTTTAAGTCATCAGTGTGATGAAATTCAATTTTCACCAAGTCTTTACGTTAACTCACGGGTCCCTCACATTCTCTCACTTAAATCTCATACCGTGGTTTTATCTTTATTATTCTCTTTTCACAACTGAGAAGACTGATGCTCCGACAGACTGGTAAACTCTCTGAGGTAGTCAATCACAGGGCCAGGCTTCAGCCAGGTCATCTCAGTGTTCTCTGTATGACATT